AAAACAGTGACAAAAAAACAAGCACAAGGCAGGCAATAGAAAAGGAAATTTCTATATTTACAAAGTCAATTGCGGGTCATCCCCGCTTACACCCGGTCAAGGCCGATCAATACAAGAAATAAAAAAAAGGAAACACCTAAACGCCAAACGGCGAACAAAACAAAATGCATAATCTTTTTACTCGCTGTCGTCTGCACCAGCGTCAGCCTCTGGCGTCGCCTCGTCAAAACCACGGTTTGCACGTGCCTCACGAGCCTTCTGACGTGCCCCCTCGAAAGCAGCCTCGGTCACGACTCCAGCCTCCCACAAACTCTTATATACATCACGTTGGGCCTCGGCAAAGACCCAAAGTTCCCGAGCCTGGCTGGAAGAAGCGGCGTGATCCCGTAGCCGCTGATTCTCTTCTTCTAAGGCTGTGATCCGGTCCGCCATGACCTGGGCGTCCTGCTCAAAGACACCAATCCGCTCCTCGAGACTCGCTTCTCTAAAGACCGCAGCATCCCTTTCCAATGCCCGTTGGGATTCATGCACGTGGATAGCCTCTCCAACGCCCGGCCCTCGCGAAGCATCCCTCACTTCGGAGCTTCAATAGCCGCGACTTCACCCTCCAACGCGGTCACTTTCCCGCTCCATGCCGCACGCGCCTCGCTGCCTTGGCCTTGCCCGGCGCTCGCACTCAGCTGCGGCCCTCTTTCCCGCCTCGATCTCCTCATCCTTTCGGCGGAGCTGCCCCTCGAGAGCACTCGTCCTGCCAAGTATTTGCTGCATCTGAAGCTCCCGCCTCACCAGCTCTTCGACCAAGGCCCGGCTCCGAGGATCATTCTTCAAGCGCACGCGCAACTCTCGGCACTGATTTCGGTAGCGGCGATACTTCTCCAGTGCCCGCAAAAATATCCCCGAACGGACCTTGGCTCGACGAATGCTCTCCACCTCCAACAGATAAGACTACAAAGCAAAGACAACAATCAGAATAAAAGAATAAACCTAAAGCAAAGAATAAGCGAACCGACGCAACAGTACATACCCTTAAGCCCATCACGGCTACTTCATTCATTAGCCCGATATCCGTAACGCCCCTCAGCGACGCATTCTCGGCCTCCGAGCAAGCGGCTCGAACTGCGGCACTAAGCTTTCCCCTTGGAGCAATAAGTTCAGTTCTGTGGGAACCTCGATAAAGTGAAATCGCCCCTCTGCGCGCACCGCTGAATTGGTGGAGCCTTCCTGGAACATACGGACGTCGTCGAGATCTAGGTCGGATTCAGACTCATCCTCACCCACATCAGCAGCCGCTGAGGAACTACCTCCCTTCTCAGTGACTGGAACCACCAATTAAGTCGCCGAAGCGACGGTATCATCACGGCCTAAGCCAACCGGGGCAGCCCTTATTGATTGTCCGCCCTCGAGGGCAGGCGCCGCAGCCGCATTCCTCTCCTCCTCCCCATCTGATGACGATTCTGCTCTAGGACGCACAACCCCCGATGGCCCCTCGTCCCGAAGTAGGGTCCGTGATGGAGAAGAAACCGCCGAAGACTCGACTGATGCCGCCCTCGGTATTGAGCGCGACACCGGCGCTGCAGTAAGCCGAGCAACTGCACCAGGCCGACGGAAGGCCAGCTGAGGGGCCCTGACGCGGCGTGCCCTCCCTAATCACAAGAAAACAAGGTTAATGAATAGAGCTGAAACAAAGCGGAACAGAAGAAATCAATTTTTTACCTGCCGCGGGCCTACGACCATGCCTCTCCCAGAAAGACGCCCACGTACGTATCCCCCTCGTATGGGGGAGTACGGCCTCGACCCACTCATGTATCCAAGACAATGGGGGCGGCGGCGACCTGTCGGCTACAAAAAAGACACGAGTTAACGCTCATAAGCACAAATCACAAAGAGGGGAAAAAAAGAGAATTCAACCACTAAAGAACTTACGTGCATGGTTCCAAGCCTCTGGGAACCCAGTAGCATCCGCCACCAGGTGCTTGGTCCTAATATAAAAGAAGTGCTCGAAAGGGCGGGGGTCGACCTCGTCATCCAATCTCATGACCAGGCCCCTCGACCCACGAGGGCACGCCTGAATCATGGTACCACGGACTCTCTGGGGAGCGTAGAGACTCAGCACATGCTGCAGCGTGACCTCCCTTCGGGCCAATTCCGCGTACTTGATAAACATTGCCAACAGTTTGTAGAGGGAAGGAGCGAGCTGACCCGGGCACACCCCGTAATAACGGCAGAAATCCACCACCAGCATTGGGAGCGGGATCTTGAACCCCAACCTGAAAGGATAGGCGTAAAAAACGCAGTATCCCCTGCGGTCGGTGTGGACCCTCTCCTCGCTTCTAGCGAGAACGATGTCTGCATGGGTAGGAACGACCCCCTGTTCCCGCAATCGGGCCATCCCGATCTCCCCCATCAACGGGGCTTCATCCACCGGTTCCTCTCCACCGTCGACGGTGAAATCAATCGCCAGATCTCCGGGCCGAGGAACCACCTCGTCAACCGACGGAATTTCGCCGGACTCCATCTGTTCTGCACCTCCCATTGCCGGAGATGGCCCTTCAACTACCGGAAAATCTACCGGAAGAGCGCCGTGGGAAGAACTGACTGCCATTGTTGATCTACTGAAAAGAAATGTAGTCACAATCAAAGGAAAGAAAAGAGAAGATGAATTAGCGAAACGAAAAAGTTTCCTCAGAATCTCTCTCTCTGATGAACAATGAAGATATGAGAAATGAATGCCCCAACCCACCTTTATAGGCAACATAAATGGCTTTTGCGAAACCCGATAGCCATCATTAACTGCACGACCAACCGTAAAACGGTTCGGTTCTGTCGTAGCAAGTGTCATTATGACGAGCTCCGCAAAGCGGCTTCTCAGCCATCCGCCAGCATACCGCCATCAGAACAATCGCTACTACCTGCAATGTGCCGTACGCCGTTAAAATTTTGGACTTGACCAAACACGTACCTGGCGCATACTCATTCCCCACGGCCATCTCCAATGTATGAAAGGCTACGGCCATCTCCAATAGGTAAAAGGCTATGACCGTCCTCAATGTATGAAAGGCTACGGCCATCTCCAATATGTGAAAGGCTACGGCCATCTTTAATGTACGAAAGGCTACGGCCATCTCCAAAGTGTAAACGGCTAAGGCCACCGCCGCCAATAAGTCGACCCCCTTATTCGAATTGTTTTCAAATCACAATCGATGAAGTCCGCTCATCGAGCTCGGCCGAAACACGACCTCGATAAGCGGAGGGACTAACTGTATGGGTCAGAACCCGACCCCACGATAATTAACGAGGCTAATCCCGTTTTAAGTTAATTCACGATTAATTAGTGGCACGACCACTGATAATTGACGACGTTCAACCCGCCCCTGGCTCGGTCAACAAAGGCCCTGGCCTATCCGCCACTATAAAGGCGAGATCTCAACGTGGTCACGGCCACTTATTGATAGCTCACGAAGCCCACAGCTATAAATACCAAGAGAAGGGACCTGCATGGGGGGGCTGCTTCTTCACCACTAGTGAGAGGAGAGAGAAAAAAGAAAATATACCCCTCTTATGGGAAGAGAAAACACCATTGTAAGGCTCTGAACCTCTTCATGGAGAAGCAGACCAAACAAATATTATCAATAAAGGTTTCTAATGCTTTTCCCCCTAATTCTGAGTTCTTATTTTAGTTTCTTTCATCTGGTCCAACGGATTATTACGATTTGCTATGATTATCCCGGAATTTATTTATATTGTTTTGTACTCGTAAGATGTGTAACATTTTTTGAGCAAACATGCTGCTTCACTAGACTCGGCAAAACTTAAATTGGAAATGCCTCACAAATTAGTGTATTTTATTTCATAAAGGGACGATACTAATCCCTCACAAATGCCTTGAGGCACGACAAAGTTTCTTTACCTATAGAGTTACGGAGAGAGATCGGGAGTGAGGGTGGGGAACGTCTGCTAGGTTCGAAGATTTTTTGCCATTCTGCCGTTTTTTGTGTGTTAGCTAGGTCTAGGAATTGAAAACTTAGGGTAGGATTTCTATAATTGGGTATTTTATATGGAGGTGGGACGGGATGATGATCATTGGATTAGAAGGAAATAGATAACTAGGATTAAATCTTACACTTAAGTGGGCTAATGGGTTGGGAAGAATGGGCTAAGGGTAATTAGGTTGGACCATATCTTTTGGGTTTGAACTTAAGCTAAAAAGATCAATTAATACAATGTATCTATAAAAATGCAAAAATTACTCTAAATTAAAATAAACTAATATAAAACTAAATACTACGCGTGAAACTATTTTTTTTTTATATTTTCAAATGTTATAATACTATAAATATAAATATACTAATTGACTTTAACCTAAAGATGAAAAAGAAATTGTAATTTTTTTATTTTTATGTGATAAAAATAAAGTAAAAGAGTCAACACTATTTAGAATATCGATACTAAACCTAAATTAAATATTTAGGCTAAAATGTGTAAAATCTTGGGTAGGATCAAAAATTACATGTCTACAGGGGTTGCTAATGCATCCTAGATTGTTCTCTTTTTATTTGCAGTGGAGAAAGGTAGTCAATTTGCAGCCAAAGATGGGACAAGAAAAAGAAGCAGATTTTTAATGTCTTTTTTTTTTTTTGGTTCAAAATATTTGTCTTCACTCTCCTTCAGCCTACCTCTTGGGGAAGTGTAGAAGCTCTTCTAGTCCCACACCAGCTAGGAACAGTTTAAGACAGTATGTTGGTCAAACAAACAAAAGAACAAACGACAATCATATCTTTGGTCTTCTTGAACTGCCCTTGGTAAGTGGAACCTTTTTTATAGGAATCATTCAGTCATGTCTCTTACTTGATAGGCTGCATATCAACAGTTATGTGTGTGTGTGTGTGTGTGTTTGTGTGAGCGTGCATGTGTATATATAAGATAGGGAAATCTCCAAATGTAACCTTCCGCGCATATACACACAAAAACCAGAAAGAAATTCTCAAAGGAATCACGAAATATCAGCACTAAAACCAACAGGCAAAATATTGATCATATATGCTAACCAGAAGTTTCCAGCAGCCAAAAGACCACTCTACTATATAAGTAGGTGAGGATTCAATGTAACTTGCGAGTAAGTAGCTATCGTAAGTAGTTATAGTACCATACTTCATCTGGTGGCTTTCACAAATTAAGACCAGATAGCAGAATAGCACTTTCAAGAACAGTTAAACTTCCAATCTCTACCTCCATTTGTTTTGCAAACAAAAGAAAAAAGTCAGATACTGTACCACCTATATATATGCATAGAGCAGACCCAGAGATAAACTGAAAGGGCTCTCTATTCTTCCTCCCTTCTTAAACTCAAGAGCACTCTTCCTGCAAGGTCAAAAATATCTGTGTGATGAACATTATTAAGAAATCTGCAATATTCCACAAAAAAAGAGGACTGAGGTGTGGGATGTGGGAGGCGGGAAAGGGACCTTAATTATACATGAAACCTGCCTACATCCATAGCATTAGGTTGTAATAGCTAGTGTGTCAAAGCATACACTTCTTCATCCAGAAGAAGGGCTCTTTTTAATTGCAAGAAATATTTAGAACACAAAATATATATTTAATACTCAATCGGCCATTTTATTTGGGGAACTCATGGACTTTGGAGAGTTCCATGGCCTTCTGATTATAACCATGAGATGATCATTCATAACCTTTTTTTTATAAGGGTGATCACCCATAACTACTAGTGGCCCCAACTTGAAATGTAATATAAAGTTCAAAATTGAAGACACTAGCTAAAGCAAAACCAAGTCAACAACATGAGAGCTGGAGCATCAGCAAGTACCCATTTTAAACTCTTCCGATGAGGCTATTCACATTCCCTCACCTCATCTTATAGTTGGAGAAATACAAGAATATTGTTCCTATGTCTTACCTCATGCTCACTCATAGCAGGGAAGAAACTTCCACTCTCTTCAATCTGACCGGTAATAACTCTCTTTCCCCTCTCTCAAACTGCAGTCCTTGTCCTCCCCCTGCAAGGACAAAAAAATCTTTGTGATGAACAGTGTTAAGAAATACGTACAAACATGTAAACTCAATATTCTATAACAAAGAGGATTGACATGTTGAGAGGAGGGAAAGGGGCCTTAATTATACCTGAAACCTGCATTCATCCGTAGCATTAGGTTGCAATAGCTAGGGTGTCAAAGCATGTATTTCTTTGTCCACAAGAAGGGCTATTTTTAATTGCAAGAAATATTTAAAACACGATGAATAGTCCAATACTCAATCTACCATTTTATTTTGGGAACTGACGGACTTTGGAGAGTTCCATAGCCTTATGATTAAAACCATGAGATGATCACTCATAAGTCATAACTCTTAGTGGCCTCAACTTGAAATGTAATGTGAAGTTCGAAAGTTGGAGACACTAGCTAAAGCGTAATTCAAGTTAACAAAATGAGAGTTAGAGCATAAACAGGTGCCCATTATGAATTCTTCCGGTGAGGCTAATAATATTTCCTCTTGGATAAATATAACAATGCTGTCTCTAGTCTTCCTATGCATTACCTCACCCTCACTCATAGCAAGGAAGACACTTCCTCTCTCTTCAATCTGACCAGCAACAAATCTCTCCACTCCCTCAAACGGCAGCCCTTGCCCCCCCCCCCCCCCAACCAAAAAAACCTA